CCCCCCCCCCCGGCTCGGGATGTCTGCTTGGGTAAGTCAGGTTTAGAACAATACACCCAGGTTTTTAAACCTAGAATAACATAGCCTCATACCGGATCCCTAGTAGGTACGTTTGTTTGCATCACGTACATCTGACTTTGGGAACTCAACAGAGGGGTTGGGTCCGTCTAGAACAGGTGTACCCAAATTAAAAAGACCATCCTGATGCATCTTACGTGCTACTTGCGCATTTGTTTGTTTCGGCTTGCATGCTGACCGGCTTCTAGAATAGGGAAAGAAAATAAAAAAAATTAATCAAAAATCAAAAACAAGAGTGAGAGGTATGTATTTGAAAAATTCTGAAACTCTGCCGATATTCTGAAGAAAAAAATAGAGAAAGAGAAAAGTCATTTCAAATGAGCCCAAAATCTCAAGTGCCATGTTTTCCCTGTTCCGTCAAAATTGACCGAACTACACGGGTCTGATTCTCACCAGATGTGAGATACGTAGGCAAACCTCATCGGTTCTGGCCCTAATTTTCAAAAATAAATCAAAAAATATTTTCCTTTAGTTCTTTCGTTAGAAATCTTTCCTTATAAAATTCAGAAAAAAGAAAAAAATGATTTTTAAACTCAAAAAAAGTAGTTTCCTTCTTTCCGAAATCTTTCATACGGAAAAAAGAAATAAAAAGAGAAATCAATAAAAAAATCAAAATCCAAAATACGGGTTTCCTTTATTTTGAAGTATTTTTCCCAACAAATTAAAAAAAATCAGAAAAAAGGAAAAAAAAATAATAAATTATTTTTCGTATTTAAAAGCCTTTCTTCCGTAAATGTCATTAAAAAAATAAAAAATTGTAGTCCAAAAATATTTCCGTTTTTTCTTTAGTAGTACTTTCGTAAATTTAAAAAAAAAAACTCATAAATCCAAAATATTTTTCTTAAAAAGTCTCTCTTTCGAAAAGTAAGAGGCAACATCCAAAAGCCAAAAATATTTCCTTTCATCTTTAAGAAGAAGAGAAAACAAATGGAAATTCAAAAAATATATATTTCTTTTTTACTTTTAAATTCCTAAAGTGCAAATCAATAGAAAAAGAATTTTTAGAAGTCTTTCTTAAAAAAAATATCAAAATCAAAAATGCAAAAAATATTTCCTTTCTCTTTAAAAGCATTTCTTTCGAAAAAATGAAAAAAAAAATATGCTTTTCTTTTTCATAAAGCTTTTATGGGGTGAGTTTTATAAAAGTAAACAAGTAAAAAAAAGAATAAAAAGTTAGCTTATTTACTCCATTCCCAATCTTTCTGAACTACGCAAGATCTGATTCATGCGGCGTCATGATACGTAGGCAATCCCTATCGGATTCGATCATAGCCATAAAATAAATTGAGTGAAAAAATAAACCAAAAAAAAACAAGAAAAAAAATTGAGTGAAAAATAAAAGAAAAAAGTGACAAAAATAGAAAAATGAAGAAAAGAAAATAGAGTGCCAAAATAGAAGAGCAACAGAAACAAAACGAAAAACAAGAGTGATTAGAGAGAGGTAGAAATAAAACAAAAGAGATATTGAGTGAAAAAGAGAGTTCGTTAAGGCTGGGATGAAACATCCAACCATTCAAACACATGGTAGAAACGTTTAACTGTTTAGGTGCATTACATCCAAACGTGTGATTTACTATCTGTAAAGCGTCTCAAAACTAACAGGGTTGTTGGGTGCGCAAATTAGCTAGGTTTTGTTGGTTGGTTTTGTTGGTAGTCTAGCCTCCCCTCCTTAACAAGATCCAAAGGCACAGGTGGCCTCCGCAAGCAATCTACCAATCATCGGTCCTGAGGATAGCCCGACATCGATTATTCTACAGCTAGAATCAGCAGCTGCTAAAGAGAATAAGATGTTGCGTCTCCGCATATTAGAAATGTGGGACGCCTGGTCTAATGGTAGGGAACCGCCAAGTGCAATCCCTGGGTTCCCTGAATTGATCCCCAGGTTAGGTGAGGTTACCAACGCCCTTGTGCCCAACCCGCTCATCCCATGCGGGCACCCTCCAATGCCCTCCAATGATCCTGGCATGCCTTCTGTGGTTCACCCCCAGGCACCGGCTTCAAGGGAACCGCCTCCAATGTTCATCTTTCAGTGTCCACAGCTTCAACCAGAAATAACGTATGTGACGCTATACTCTTTCACTCAACCTCCACAATATGATCTCTCGATGGAGCAAGAAAAGGTTGTCAAAAATCCCGAGCTAGAGGAAATGGCTCGGAAGATGAAGAGCCTAGAACAAATCCTGAAAAACATGCAAGGTCTGAGTGGCCAAAAGAGTGTCTCATGCTCTGACCTCTGTATGTTTCCCCATGTCCACTTGCCAACTGACTTCAAGATGCCAAAATTTGAAAAGTACGACGGGCACGGAGACCCGGTCGTTTATCTGAAACAATATTGTAACCAGTTGATGTGTGCTGGTGGAAAGAAGAGCTGCTAATGGCCTATTTTGGGAAAAGCCTCTCCGGAATTGCTTCTGAGTGGTATACGGATCAAGAAATTACTCATTGGCATGTGTGGGACGATATGGCTCGAGACTTTGTCCGCCAATTCCAATATAATGTGCACATCTCTCCCGACAGAAACTCTTTGCCCAATTTGAAAAAGAAAATCATGGAAAGCTTCTGCGAATATGCTGTCAAATGGCGTGAGCAAGATGCCAGGGTAAAGCCTCCAATGGACGAAATTGAAATGGTCACGGCCTTTCTACAGGCTCTAGAGGTGGACTAGTTCCAGAATATGATGTCTGTTATGGGTAAGCCGTTCGCCGAGGCTATCAAAATCGGGGAAATGGTTGAAAATGATTTAAAAACAGGCGAATCTTGAGTCATGCTGCCTTTACGACCACATCACAGGCTGCTCAGAATGGTTTAGAGGGTTTGATGAATAGAAATGGGGTTAAAGAGGGAGCCATGATGGTTTCAAGCTCGAGGGGGGCCCGCATGTCATTCAGCCAATCATATGTGCCTCCTATGGTCCCACCACACTATTATCCCCTTCAAGATGATGCTTATGCCGTGGTGCCGCCTCCCTATGCAACGAGGAACGCTCAACCTTACCCGTGGCCATAATATTATACAATAAATCGAGCTCCACCTCCCAGAAATGTCCATCCTTACCAAGCTCCATATAATCACCAACCAAATGATCCCCAATACAATCCTCACCCAAGATAGACTTTCAGAAAGAATCAGTTCACCCCTATTAGCGAATCGTACTCAAGCTTGTTCTGCTAATCTGGCTAGATCTATTGCAGTCCTTGGCCTCGAAGAGGACGAACC